CATTTTTAAAATATAAAATAAAATATAGGGAATTATGTTTGACCGATATTATCATTCTAAAGAAAGGAATTAAACGGGATATAAAATTCGTGCAAGTTAGATAGCACGAAAGGTTTTTGTTTGCCTTAGAAACAGTACACACATATATATACATATATATATATATATATATACGAAAAGGTGTGAGAGAAAGATAGAAGGATGTACATGTCGCGATAGGATGTGGTGTCGCGGTTGCAATGGGAATGCATCTTGTCTCTGTATATCCGTGCCCCGATTGCAGTCGTGGTTCAACTCGATGTCGAGGAACCATACCTTATAGTCGTGGAGTAATCGAGTAAGGTGATTCCCGTTGGTGGTAGTTAACTCAAACGAAGAGAAACTGAGATAGACAGAGAAGAAATATATAGAAAGAGCCACAAATTTTCAGCTGTCACTAACGTGAATCAACGAGAATGAACGAGCTATTTCTCACACAAATACATACACAGAATATATATATACAGACCGTTACATACGTGTATAGTTTCTAATCGAGATTGTCATGATAGATCAATATATTGAGAGAACTACTATAATAATAATTATAAGTGTAATAATATCATTCGAAGATACGATTACAAAATTAAATTTTGTTAAATGTTGAAAATAAATTCAATAATTTTTGTTTTTAAATTGATCAACGATTAAGAAAAACATTAAATGATTTGTATTTAGGATTTTTTTTTTTTTTTTTGGTTTATAAAAAATATATTTGACGATTCGTAAGAGTATGATCTATCGTTGGAATGATTTTATAATCTTTATTATCCAATTTATTCTAGAATAAAAAATAAAAAAGGAAAAAAAGTTATTTTGTTGAACGATTTAAATGCGTGTCCCCCGTTGCTTTTCGGTACTTATTCTTTTTCTTCTTCTTATATTCTCTTATTCTTATTCAACCTAGGTCGAATACGTTAGAGACCGTACAAATTGGCTAGCAAGGATCTTTCTCTAGGTTCCTTATCCTGTGCTTTTCTCTTTCTCTAACACGAGTATTGCCAAGAACTGACACTATAAGTCACAGCTACTAGTTCCAACGAAAGAAAAGAGAAGAGAAGAAGAAGAGCTGTTTCTCTCTAACACCCGTTCGCATTTACCTTGAATTCAATTTATCCTAATGGACGTTATATTCATCCGCAAATTTACAAAACCAAACTGTTCTATTACAATTTTTTTACTCTCGTCTAATTAAACGTTTAAAAAAAGGGCAAACAATTCAGAGACGTCCTCGTTAATAAAAAAAAAAAAAAATATAATTACATATACGTAAAAGAAAGAAAAAAGAAGAAGAAAAAAAAAGAAACTCTTCCCTCCCCCCCCTCGGTGCAAAAAAGAGAGGAAGAAAAATTTATAATCGAGCTCGTAGATAATTAAATTAAAAAAAAAAAAAATAAGAATACTAATTTCTCTCGGGTGTATGTAAATGCATTAAAATATTATGTAATATGACTCGTGAAATACGTTACAACACGTTGAAACCTTTATTTATCCTGTACTTTCCCACGTGTGCATGTAAAAATATGTTATAACGAACACAGCAATAAAAATGTAATCATATTTAATAGGAAATTAATGGAGTGTAGGTATCCGACAGTTGGGGGGGAGGGATGGGGCGGGGGTGGGATCGTACACTCGGGACATTCTCAAACTGTGCGATTATCACGAGTATTAAAGTGAATCAACGTCGCTCAGGGCCAAGATGTTAGCTAGCTAGCTAGCGAATCCGGAGTCAGTGTTCCTAATGTTTGTCTGCCGTGACGTTCACGTTGGTATCCAAGCACAGGACTTCCTACTACAAGCTCCTTAATGTAACTACACGAACAGGACTAACACTTTGAATATAGGAACGCGTTTATACGCGTTGGTTCTACACCAATTGCAGAGTTAACGCACACCTAGTCTTCGAGAATATCGATATAATTTAACATACGGGACACGAGGTACGTTCTAATGGCTAAGGACAAGTCCCCATGTTCCTTTCTCTACCAACCGGAGAACCCACTACTGGCGCAAATGAAGTCACCCAAGACGCCCCATTGTCCCTTCACTCTGTAATTTATAATACGAGTTAACACCCTTCTACGGTAAGAATTTGAATTCGAGAAAGGCGTCAACGCAATATATATATACATATATATATGTATGTATGTACACATATATATAAATTAATATGTAAATATAATATAATATACTTATACATATATACGTAATAAGAACGTATAAATATATTCGTATGAACGTAATATATATATATACGTAATAAGAACATATAGATATATTCGTGTGAACGTTAACTTTGATTTCCTGCCTATCCAAGATTCAAACTTCGATGAGTTCTCGATAATTAATTCAAGCAATCGAACCGGTTAATTGCTTCGTATCATCCTTCAAATAAATTCATGAATATTAATCAAATATGATACCTTATATTTGAATGAACACTTTTGGTTAATGGTAGAATTTTGTCGTATATAATAGGAGGAGTATATTTTACTCGGTAATTTAAATTATTTCATTCTATTATAATTTTATAACAGACGAATATTTGCTTTCGAAAATTGATTAATGAGTTTAAAGGTGATCTACCGATACGATTCAATTTGATTCCTTCCTTCCTTCCTTCCTTCCTTCATCTAATTCTCTACTTCACTGTAACTACTATTATAATTATTAAATATTTCTCTATAATATTATATTATACACTTACTCGGATCTAACTCGATGTATGTTAAATTGATGAAATGTTAATTCTACGATCTCGTCTGGGTGACCGGTGAACGTGTAAAGAAGACAATCGATGCTAGGTGGATATCTTCTTGGAAAATAAGGTGTCATAAATGTACCACCCAATGGTCTATCCGTACTGCTATACTTCACACATTTGCAACCTGAAACCGAAACAAATAAATATTTATTATCTAATAAATATACTTCAAATCGATTATATATATAATATTACAATTTATAATAATAAATAATAATAATATAATATTAATAATAATATATAATATTACAATTTATAATAATAAATAATGAATAATATATATATATATATATTATCATAAATAATTATTTTCTCAATTCGTATATATAATATTTCTAATGTTTGAATAAAAATAAACACGCGTGAATAAAATATCAACGATTATAATATAATCTCAATATGAGTCCTAATCGCGTTTGAAATCATTTTCATTGTAACAAATATTGAAATATTACAATAATATGATTCAATCATTTTTTTCAGAACACTTTTCTTTTCACGAAACTTTTCTTATTTCTTTTCAAAATGAAACCGTAGACTCTTGATATCGATCCCTTAGCGGTAACGGTCTCGTGTCAATTTCGAAGAATTAAATTAAAGTTTGAATTTTTCATAAAAAGAATGATCTTTCTTCATCTTTTCTCTATCCATTCTTTTTCCTCTATACTTAAAAAAAAAAAAGAGAGAAAAAGAGGAAGAGAGAGAAAGAAAGAGAGTAAACTTTTAGACAAAATTTTCCAACGTCACTCTGACGATGCATTACTTAAAAATGTTTTCTTATCTATAGCGTATTGAAATAAGAAAAGATATATTCTCAAAGATGTATAAAGAAAATTTATATCCAATTGTTATTTGGTTATTTTATTGTTGTTGTTGTTGTTGTTATTTTAAATTTGTTAAATTAACAGTATCGAAAGGTAAATGATTAAATAAGTCTATGATTTATGGCACCACTGAGTTTACCACGAAACATACGAGCTCTCATTATCCATCAGCAAACCACAACATGCGCGAGGACAAAATTTAATTTCCTGTTTTTCAATTAACTTCTATGGTAGATTGTTTCCCATTCTCTCTCTCTCTCTCTCTCTCTTTTACTTTATCCTTTAGAAAAAAATATAGTGGTCATTGCTAGAATATAATATGAGAATTCAAACCTACTTATATTTTAAATGACGAGTCTTCCATACAACTTGAAATAATTTGAATAAAATAACACATTTATTTATTTTCTTTCTTAATTTAAAAAGAATTTCTTTTTGTTGTTGTTGTTGTATATACTTTCGCATAATAACGTAATATAAAATATGATAATTTTGTAAAGTTATAGAAAAATTAATTTTCTACGTTTATAACGGAGAAAAATAAAGTCGTGATATCGAAAATATTGTAACCAACATTTTGATGGGATTGATTTTAATAATACTGAGACTGTTAGTGATAAACTTTGATCGAACCGTCCCTTTGACGGATAAATACAAAAGCTTTTTCGATCGAATGAATTGATTGCGACTTGTCTTTCTTTCTCACCCTTCGTCCTACCATCCTCCTCCCACCCATTTTCCCAATCCCTTTCAACCTCTTTCTTTCTTTCTCTCTCTCTCTCTCTTATTTCTATATACATACCAAACGTACGTACAAAGTCGTAGAATATGCAAAATGAAATTACAGAATCCTTCGAGAAATCTTTGTAAATCATGAGAGAGAGAGAGAGAGAAAAAGTAACGTTTAACGTTACGTTAAAATAGTCGTTGAAACTAAGATAGAAAATTCCATTTGAATTTCTTCATTCGAATGTTTAACAAAATTACTGCAGATAAAATTAAATAATAAAACTATGAAAGAAGAAAAAAAAAAAGAAGGAAGGGGGTAAAAGGTGATACTTGAAGACTTCTTCCCTGCCATCGAGGACCATAGAATGTATTTGAAAGAGAAAAAAAAAAAAAAAGAAAGAAAGAAGAAAAATGAAAGAAAGAATAAGTAGTAGAAGAATAAGAACCGAGAAGAATTAATAATGAACTAATTATTCACTTCGGTAGTAGTGGAAGAAGTAATTGAAAGATCGTTGTGTCTCAATAGGCACCTAGAATTAAACTGACTCACTTTTTCTTACTCATTATATTCGCAACGACCTATATATTGTATCATAATTACGTTTATTTTCTTTTTCATAGTGTACCCTTTCACATGGGACATTGAATTCACCATATTCTTATATAAATGTTATCTTTTGTTTTGTTTTTTTTCTCTCCATTATGCAATATTATATATATATATGTATAAGTATACTCATTATTTTACACATATATATGCAGTATACTTTCTTATACGAATGTTTATATTTCTTTTTAATAGATACTCGAGAATGTGACACTAAATTTCACATTTCTTTTTATATACGAATGCTTCGTTATTTTCTTTCCAATGCGTAATATATATTAAATTATTGGTAAAATTAATTTAATTTCCTGCAGACCAGCGTGACTTTCAAATCACATACCAATAAATTAATATTAATATTATTATTATTATTATTATTATTATTTATTCATTTAATTTTCTTACTCCAATATGGTGGATACATATAATATTTCATAATTGTTATTTTTGCAACGAACAAACACGTTCTTCGAATCGATTATCAATTTCAGTTTATAGAGAAATGTGGTAATAAATTTAATATCTATGAGAATTATATTAATTAACTGTTTAAAATGTGTTCATTTTTTTTTTGTTCCTTCTGTTAATTCCAAGTAATTTTAAATTCTTTTGTAATCACGCGTAGAAAGAAAAAAATATCTAACTGCAAAGAATTAATTATCTTGGTTAATAACATAAATGTACATTTTTATTTCGTAACGAATAAAAATGTTATTATATTCTTTTAATACTTACTCTTTAATTATGACAATGAAAAATTATATTTATTTATACGTAAAAACAGAGAGTACATATATAATATTATTTATCATATATTACGACAATATTAAATAATATTTATATATTTATACACGCAAATATAATTATTGAATACTCTTAACAAAAGTTAATCAAATATTATATCATGACAATTAAATTGTATATATATTTATATAAGTAAAATAATTACACATATTAAAGAGATGATAAGAAAATATAATATATTAAAATACGATCTGTGGTTAAAGAAAAATATTTGTTGACTCATCGAGAAATATTTCATTGATCTTAAAATGCAAGTAAATTCTCGTCGACGTATAGAAGAGAAATGCTTTAACGATTTTTAATGTAGGTCATTGCGTAACGTCATTAAATGCGAGAGCAATAATTTATCTAAAGTAGTATGTATCTCGAGCGTCATTGCTATTCGTCTTTGTCGACAACCAAGACGAAAACGAAAACGAAAACGAAAACGAAGACGAAGACGACAGTAGACGAGGACAAGAACGAAAGGATGAGAGGACATAGATGATGAGAATGAAGATGAGGAAGAGGAGGAGGAGGAGGTTAAGAAGGAGGAGTAGAAAGAGATGAGGAGGAAGCAAAAGCTGAGGAAAGACGAAAGACGAAACGAATAACGCGTTTCGAGACGATTATTCTCGTTGAAGCGATCCATTAGCAGCCCCACCATTCGTTCCCATTCTATGTAGTAGAACTAATCCAAACAAAGTCATTTGTAAGGATGCTAACGCAATTAATCAGTTTGGTTTCTTTAAAAAAAAAAAAAACATTATATAATATAAGAAAAATAAATTTGAAGGAAAACAATGACGAGGAGAAAGAAGAAAAATAAAAGGGGAAAAAAATGAAAATGAAACGTTACGACAAAAATATGAAGAACAAAGTGTTGTAATATATTCAGGATGACAAATTAAAAAATAAAATATAACAATAATCGTTATTTCATAATGAGATTCTAATTTTTCGAATGAATCGTTAACAAGTAGTCGATCATTTTTGCACACCGTGTTTCTTGCTTTCGCGATTAATTACTGGACACGATTAAAGGTAGGAAAAAAAGAAGAAGAAGAAGGAGTAAGAAAAGAAAAGCATTCGATTGGTAAGAAAGAAAGAGAGAGATAGATAGAGGTATTGTAAATTGTCTCGACTTCTCCACAACACGGTGCGAATTAATAGCTTCGCGAGTCACAAGTTGCTCTTGGATCTTTAGTAAATTAACAAAAACGAAGAGTTTCCCCCTTTTACTCTTCCTACCCAATCCCCAATCCCACCCTCATTCCATTCCTCACGTTCCCTTTCCGTTCCCTTTACCCTCGGCTTGTTGTTTTTCCAGTTAATACCAAACCGCAACTACTTTTACTCCCGTTCTTCGTTCTCTGTTGCATGCTTTGCTTTACTTTACTTTTCTTTTTTTCTATTTCCCTCGCAGTCTTTCGCCTTTATTATCAGATCTTTTATCTCTATTTTTCTCACAGTTCGTCCATCTCTCTTTTCGCAAAGCTTGCTTCACAGTGTTAGCTAGGACGACACCCTTGTGACCTATATTCGCTAAAATGTACGCTGAAAATTCGTTTTCTCTTTTTCTAACGTGTCATCGTGTATTTCTTATTTCTCTCTCTCTCTCTCTCTCTCTCTCTCTCTCTCTCTCTCTCTCTCTC